AATGCATAGTGTATAGTATGTATGTTTACCGCTTTAATGAAAAGTATCATTTAGCAACCAGTTGTAAAGATAGGTACTCAAGACTAAAAAGTACTATACCTATACCTTGGATGGAGAGCATGATCTCAATTATCACTGGATGGCGACGAACTGGCCGATTTCACCAACGTCTCCTAAGTTTAAGGGATCCCTTAAGCATGGTTAGGGGGCTGTTAGGGGACAGTTTCTGTTTCACCGACAGTTAGGGGTCATCTAAATTTTAAAATGCCACCTAAATATAAGGTATTAGAAATACGGACTCTGACGATGGTAAAACGAAATTTAATTTAGGGGCTAGTTTATGGGAACTTTTAAGCTAGGGATCCCATTCGTAGGTGGTAGCTTAAGTGATGTTGGTGAAATCGGGCAGGTGAAACAGGAACTGTCCCCTAACAGCCCCCTAACCATGCTTAGGGGATCCCTTAAACTTAGGTGACGTTGGTGAAATCGGCCATCAATCTAGAGCTTAGGCTATCAAATACAAAAATATATATTACACTGATGTAATAAATATTTTTTTCTTTACTGGTCTAAACCAGTAGTGCCTGATTTTAGCAGGTTCTAGATAGTAAAAACTAAAAAAACATAAAACATAAAAATGTAAATTCAAATAGGTACTAGAAATAAAGTATTATTTTTACTATCAGAAATGACTAAGTATAATATATATAAAAAATAAAACACCACATAATATTCAACATTTTATTACTTGTCAGCTTGATATGATATATTCATAATTCATATATCTATTAACATAATGATATGTAAAATTAATGGTAGAAAATGTGCCTAAAGTTACATTGTTAAACATGTATAGCTTTGCAAATATTACACAGACTGACAGTTCAATCTATTTATATTAGACATATAAATATGTGAACATAATCTAACTACACTAATATTACCCTACTAAGTTTTTAGTGACATCGTGTTTCTGATTCTCATTTCTTATACGCCGATGTCATTTTTATTAAGTTTTATATATTTTTGCCCTCTTTCTGACAATTTGGCTTAGTAATAGGCTTGTTTTAGGCCGGAAAATATTAATTTCTCAAAATTAAACACCGTCTAGAAATACAAAGTGCATACATACATACATTGGTATATATGTGCCTTTACTGAAAGTATAGAATTATCTATAGAAATCAAAATTGTAAACTCAATCTTAATCGCAATTAGAATTAGAAAGAGACAAAATAACCGTATCATCGTTTTATCTTACTCACTCACACTTTTCGCTTCTTGACTTCCTTGCTCTATGGATTTTGCTTATCTTTAATATTAATTTCTGTATTAAAGTCATCCAATTCATCCAATTTTTAGATTCCGTACATTAAAATGAAAACCGGACGGACAAGGCGAAACTAAAAGGGTTTCTTGTGGACTACGGAACCGTAAAAACAACTTATAAATAAACAGATCATTTTCACAAAAATAAGTATAAGTAAAGTTATATGGCAATGGTACCTATAAGATTAAATTAAATAATAAAATATACGAAATAATAAGCGAAAAATCTATACATTTGACAGACAATATCCTGCAAACAGATTAAATAACACTTAAGTTGAGCGCTTTTAAATTAATTAGAATCTTTTAAAGCAAAATTTGATAATTTATATTAGTAATGTCCTTGTTTACCGTTTGTTAACGTATTAAATGAATAAATTTTAATGGTATTCATTTTTTTACAGTTTCCTTATTATTTACTTACAGATAAAATATATAAATAATCTTAATTATTATATATGAAATGATAAAAAATAAATACTAGCTTTACTTTATAAAATAATATAAATAATGTATGTAACCTTTTGTTTTATAATCAGTATGAATTTCCGCTTCTCCATTAGCGATGTGCATTCTCCCTATCGGCCAGACGTGGAACTAATTTCGGACTATACAGTAACTTTAGAGTGAATATAAAGTTTATTAGAAGTATACATCAAAGTATTGAAAGATAATAAAGTCATTAGAACAAAACTACAATATAATAAACTTTAGTTCTCAATCATCATCATAAATCTACCGTTTTCCAATTACGAAACCCAAAACAACTCGCCAAAAAAACTTTACATATATATTTCTGCTACTGAGTTGGTTGGTTACGCCAAAGCAGTACTTTTCAAAGTGCTCGATTAAAATTTCGAAGTTGAGCATAATGCGCTTTAGTGCTGTAATTGGAAAACTACCATTATCTCCATCAATACAACGATAAATAATTTCATTCATTAAAAAAACAAATAGCACATATTAATTATACAATAATAATCTCTACGAGTAATTTCAATTTTAATATATTCAACAGCCTGTAAAGTCAAAACTGAGATCTGAGAAGGCGGGCATTCTTTATGTATGGTGCCTAATAATATAAAAATAAAATATAAACAGACATCGCGTCACAACCTTAATTCCTCACACTAACAAATCTAATATAATCAGATTGTTATAGAACTAAATATGAAGCCAAACCGTAATGTTTCTAGTTTTAAAATAGTATACAAATGACAATTTGTATACTGAGTGATAAGTAAATAAATGTTCTTATATAAAAACAACCAACAGATTTTATTATAACAAATAAAAAAATAAGCTAATATATCTATCTCTCTCTACTTATAGCTATCTCTCTTTCAAGGGAAAGAGAAATAATGCTTTAAATATTAAAGGATAAATAGTATTATTTTTATTATTGATATTGTATATCCAAAGGTTGTAGAATATTAATTTAACTGATACATATATAAAATTTCCCTTGTTCTTTAAAGAAAGTAAACAATATGTATAGCAAAATCGACAATCGTAGCTTACACATCAAAGCACGCGTCTATTTTTGACATTGACATTTATTTTGGCGGAATCCGTATATTTATAATTCTTTAGTCTAAGATGATAACATAACATTCATTCGGCCCCATTAATTATTTTCATTTAATGTCACCACATTCAAAGATTCCTACTTTACGAGATAAATAAGTTAGGTATATTATAGATAAGAAATATATAAATGCACTGCTAACATTATTGTGAACATAATATATCAATTTGGTGGTTGCCATATATCAAAATGGCATGTGCTAGTAAACTGACAAAGCTGTATTAATAACCAATAACATTATAAAAGATAAAAGATTAGAACATATAAAATTATTATGAGCGCTCTTTCTTCGAGGACACTTTTGAGACGCTGACTGTTTAACTTGAGTTTCTGTAAACAACTTTCAACTAAAGACAAAGTTTATAAAGTCAAAACCGAGATCTAAAAACGGCGGTTATTGTTATTTATATAAACATAAATATAAATATAAACAAGCATTGGAGTTAATACTTTCTTTGATTTACGCGAATATTTGACATTTAAAAAAAAACTATCTTTTCAAATTTGGAACCAAAAATCCAAATAAACCCGCGAAAAAATCCGGAAAGATAGTTTTATTTAAAAGCATTGGAGTTTTTAACTCCGGAAGAAATACATATTGTTTATTTTGTTGGTACATATTTGCTTATAGACCGTTACATTATATTAGATATTTCAATTCCACAAACAAAAATATGACGCGTTGTTTTTAAAGTGAAATGATTAACATTATATTTACTACATGTAAATAAATTAAATTAATTCTTATAAATAAAATAATTTTAAAATGGTACATATAAATTAATATCTTAAACTAAATTAATGGGTATAGAGATCGTTGTCATATCGTGGGAATATTAGCCTCTAAAATGAATACTTATAATAATAATTAAAAAAAAAGTAAACGCTTTACTTGTCAAAATAGTATTTTTGGCATAAAATTAAAAAGCAATTAATATAATATCAGTCTATCTTTAGTATTGTTGTACGCGATTAAGTACATTGGTTTTAAAATATTGACTTATTTTTGATATGTTTTAATCATTTGTTATGGGTATTTCGAAATTAATTTAAACGTATAAAAGTACATTTCCTTATTAAGAAAATTCATTAAGATTTAGACCAAACCACATAAAGAGCTGAATTTTGAAAATGTACTCTTAAAATGACATGGATAATTATTAAAATAGAGTTTTTTTTTATATTAAATTGCTACCGGATTAGAAAATGGTGACCAATTTCCCTTGAACCTTGTTTTAATATTGTTCGACACAATAAATGAATTGGCATATTTCAAAATTCAACCGATTAGAAGACAAATTCCCGTACAAATATAACTCCTTAGTTACATGTATAGCAAATATACATATTTTTAAGAAAATGTCAAATTATTAAGTCAGTTATATTAAAAATATCAGGCCGTGTGTGTTGACGTACTTAATATAAATAACATCATTCACATATATATTATACCTATAATTGTTTAACCAAGAAGAACTTCTCTTTCCTATGAGAAGCCGCCATAGACAACTGTGCGCTAAGAAAAGACCAGACGTCTTACAAATAGTCTATGACCATTCGTCAGTTAGTGCACATTATTATTTTTGTTTATTTACATTAAATATTAAAAAAAAAACAGAGTTAAATTAAAAGCAAAAAAGCTGCTCTTAGTTATTTTAAGGAACTTCTATCTCTTTGCATAAATAGGCGGGAAAAATAAACTAAGTACATCAATATATTCTCTGTAGTCACGCCGTGATTAAAACGGAAATAGACTTTGGACTATGCGAAATAACACATCCTGCTAGCTTTATATGGATACGCTATGAAACATTATTTATCTGTATTTTTAAAATAATTATTTTATTTTATAACGAAATTTTGCTGATTTCAATTGAAGATATATGTATGTATACGGTTTACAATTCAATTTGTGCGTTTGGGGACTAATTAATTATTTTCTCAAATTAAAATAGGACCTTCGTAGTATGTGCTATTCAATAATAATAAAAAAAAAAACAAAACCGCTTCACAATCGGCAAACACATCGAGCATTAGACATTAATAATAATGAATCCGAATAGCGGTTTTTTTAAATCGGTTAAAAAATACGTTTATCATTTCCATACGTTGCGCATGCGTCCTTAAAATTGCTAACATTGAAACCAGCAAAATAATCGTCATGGATAAACCGAACTATATTTTCGATTGGGCATAAATATGTATTATACACTTTCAGATCATCTATTGGGTCCACTACCTTCATTACTACATTCTGGCGATTTCTACAAAAAGTCAGTTTGTTCGTCACATCCTCTCCATTATACACTACGCGGAAATAAAAATCTTGAGCTACCGCTTTCCGTTTGGTAAATTTAAACTCGTCCCTTAAGTCTTTCTTTCTATACACTTCGAAGATCATTCTAGAAGCGTACTGTATGTTATAATGTTGGTAATTATTGAGACCTAGCGCTAATATGAGGGCTTGTAAAGTTTTGTCATGTCCAGAAAATATGACGAATTTCGGCTTACTTTCTGATATAATTCGTATCATATTTTGGACAATATTGTGTATTAAACCGTAGGCAACTAGTAAGCCGCGTCTCTTATTATATATATTTTTCACTTCTTGCCTATAACTCCATTCTAGATATGCAAAAACAGACATAACATGTTCTTTCTTAATACAAAAATCGTCATTTTCTGGTGTAGGTTCTTTGTAGTCTTCATCGAAATCGTCAACTTTATCGTTTGGAAAATTGAAATCTGCGTCCAAATTCTTTTTAACTATGACGACATCTTCATAAGCATTGTCCATATATCTCTGTTGGTAGTACAACAGTTTTTCTCTTTCCATCTGAGCGTCAAAATCCAGTGGCGTCTTTTTCTCATACTTCCCTATAATATCGCGTGCTTTCCTTCCAATTTCGTTGTTAAAATCTAACTGATTGTTAATGTAATCAAGTTCCATATTTAAAGTGTCAATATCTGAGTCTAGTAGGTGTCTATTTGAGGTATGAGATATAATTTTTTTTAATTTATTTATTGATAATTTCGGTCTTTTCCTAGATTTTTCAGTGCATGGGAGGGGTGCATCATGACACATGTAAGCTAGTAACGCATCTCTGACTACATCAGCATCTGTATATTCTTGGGATTCGAACAATGCTTTGGATAGTTTATTTATCAATTCCTTTATCGCTGGATGAGATTCTAAACGGCTTTTCGCTTGTGAACTTATTTTTCTATAAACAAAATTGTGTTTTGTTAATGTTATAGTCACGGTTTGAGTTATTAATATGGAAAATTCATGTTGCGTTTAGAAATAATAATATTTAAGAAATAATATTATGAAACAAAATCATCAAATTGTTATAAAATTAACATATTATTTTATAAAACATTATCAATAAACTAAAAGTGAGTTTAGTTGTTGGAAATAGGTTTGATTGATATCAAGTAATAATGATATCAAGTAATATTTTAATACAAAATTATTCTAAGAAAAAAATCATATATTTTCAAATTTGTCAAATTATCAAACGATACTGGTATCATAAATGGAAATGTCACACTCAATACGCGCCCTAAATGCATCCCTGGCAAAGTGACAGCTCGAATGTGCCTTAATCCGACTCTGTACTATCACGGGGACCATAAAAGCCTGTCAAAGTGTGCCACCCAGCGCATACTCACTTGGCGAGCGCGTGGTGCGCGGCGCAGGCGCAGTGGCGGAAGCAGAAGGCCACGCTGTGCGCCTCGCGCGCCGCCGCCGCCGCGCGCGTGCTGCCCCACGCCAGCGCCTGCGCCGACTGGAACGTGCGCCGGTAGCGAGTGCTGTATACTATACCACCTGGAAATTGAATATCATTTTTCTTACTTACCTACACTATTATTATATTTCTTAATACATTAAATAAATATGCATGAAATATTAGCAGAACCCGCGGCCTCGCTCGCGCTAAAACTATAAAAAAAACTGTAAAATGGTTAGGTTTCATACAAACTTTCATCCCCTATTTTACCCCCTTATGGGATGAATTTCGGAAAATGCTGAAACACGTATTTAATGAATTGTATTGAAGAACATTAATACCAAGTTTCAAGTAATTCTGATCCCAAATATTTTTTTGGGTTGTATTATATGGTGTTTACCCGGAGGAATGAAATAATTTCGCGCGCCAAAACGTAAACTCATGTCACTCTCCAATCCTTCAACTATCTCCACACAAAGAATCACGCCAATCCGTCACTCTGTTTTGACATGAAAGAAGAACAAACAAACACACACTTTCACATTTATAATATTAAAAGTATGGATATATTGAGACATTAACACAGTGTCATCTAGTTCCATGGTAAGCTACGAAGTTTGTGTTATGAATACTTGGTATTTGGATTTATTTATTTACGAACTAACCTTTACAATATGATAAAGGTTAATTAAATAGGTAACAATAGGTAATTTTCATAAGTAAATATCGTACATTAATAGAATAACGTGAATAATTTTTTATTTACAAATATATTCTTACCAATATCGTGTTTTCCAGTCAAATCCATACTTTCGAGGCCCAACTTATCACCATATGCTTCTTTTAGAATATTACCTGAAATAAATAATTCTATAAAGAATATACTTTTTACTGAAAAAAAAACAGACAATCAAGACCCGCGGCTTCGCTCGCGCTAAAAGTACAAAAAAACTCTTTGGCTTTATGCTATTAGTGTAATATATAATGTATGGAAGTCTGCCCGATTTGTTGACATTTATGATTATCCCTTGGGTAATAGTATGATGATATATAGCCTATAAACCTTTCTTAATAAACGGCTTAGGTAATGCATAAAGAATTATTCAAATCGGATTAGTAGTTCCTGAGATTAGCGCGTTCAAACAAACACACGAACAAACAAACAAACAAACAAACAAACAAACACAAACTCTGCCTCTTTATAATATTAGTATACATACAGAGTTATTTTTGTCTGATTTTGACCACGGCGGCCAATTCCTTTGAGACAATTGCCATTTGCGTGGGAGATATTATAGTGCAGCGCGTATACAAACACAAGTGCATTCTCTATTTCTGTAACTCATAAACTCCGGGGAGGACTGACAGCATTACATAATCTCCCGGCAACTTTCCAACTCCAGTTTGGTCGGAACCTCCGGACCTTAAGCCGTACATAGTACATATTACCCAGTAGCCACTAGAACTTTTTTTTTTTTTATCGTCGGGAAATGCATTTACGCATACCACCTGATCCCCCAGGTGGTGATGTGGGGCTCACCGGCTAGAAGAGCCGGTACTACCCACTAAAACCCGACATCCCTTCCCCCCGCCTTAGTGGGACGCCGCAGGATCGCTTGCGCATAACTACTACGGCGCCCCGGCGGCAGGTCTGCCTAAATACTAGGCAGACCACCAAACCAATGGGGCTGCTCCACAGTCAACTCTGCTACGTCAGAGAGGTACCCGGAGCAGCCCCATAAAACCAAAACACCGCCCACCGAAGTGGGCCACCTCCAATCGGCTGCAGAGGACAGGGAGAGCGGCAACGAAACACCGACACTCCTCTTCCCCTGCAGCCCCACCGCGTCCGCCATCAAACGGTGGCGGCCCCGTCTAGGCCGCGGAAGGTAGGGAGAACGGCGCACCGAAATACCGGCACTCCTCTCCCGCCGCGGCCTACCCCTCCGCCGAATGCGGGCCTGCGACCACAGTCCCGCAACAAGCACCCATCATCCGGTTGTGGGACCAAGCGGTCCCACCACCGGTGGCCGCAACGTCTTCGGCTCGAGGCCTAAACGAGCGGCCCCATCCAAGCCATTTGGTCCGCGCCGGATTTCTCCGGTACCACCCGCCCCTCTAAGCGGGTGGCATGCCCCTATCCGCCACCTGGGGACGCGCCCGGTAGGAGTTGGCTTCTCCCCCGGGAGTAGCCACTAGAACTAGATCAAGTAGACGGTTAAAAATAAATCTAGCACATAATAGGTACCTATAGTAATCATCTGTAGTACGCCTGTAGGCGTGAGTTGTCCGAGCGCGCAGTGCGTGGCCGACGCGCGGGGGAGCGACGGAAAGTTGTGGAAGGGCCCCGGCCCCGCCACCCACCAGGCCCGCCCTGACGCGCTTGCGTTCAGTACAAACTCTTCATAACTAGAAAGATGAGGTAACAATTCTATTCTAGTTCTTCTTTACACTGCTTTTCCCATTCCTAAGCCAAATTTATTGCCTGTTGTGCATAGAAAGAATCTATGATACAAGATTGCATTTTTTTGTATGTTTGTTACTTCTTCAACAGACAAGTTGAAACTGTTGGGATGATTTTAAATGAAAATTAGTACTCAGACTATGAACTACCACATAGGCCATGGTTTAGCACCTAAGGAGGCACTTGATTGAAAGGAGTGTAAGTCTTAGTATATTGTTAAAATAGTGAGTATTGAGGAAATAGATTTTTAAGACAAATATTGAGAATTGCCATTATATGCCCACCCTCTCTGGGGTTCGCCTAGAACAGATCTATCCCACCTGAACCGCACACTTTTCCAGGTAAAAAGTAACTTATATGCTATTCCAGACTATCTCTATGCTAAATTTCATCCAGATGCGTTCTGGTGTGATTAAGTAACAAACATCCAAACTTTTAAACTTTCACAATTGTAATATTAGTATGATTACCAACAAACAATTAAAGATAATTTTGTATTTATATCTTCAAATAGGTGTGACACTAAGTGTTTTATGGGTGCTTCTACCTTAGTCATTGGTATTTTCACTATACTAATATAGTTTCCTTATTGGAAATAAATATTTAACATCTATAATCAAGTAAGTTATTTCCAACTTCATGGACTTATATCTTTATTAAGTCTTAATTATGGATTTTTTTTCTCCCAAATACCTTTTAAGCAAAGGAGACACAGGTACAGTATCACAGGGTAGTTTATCACCACCCTTTAAATGAGTGAGTGGGCCACGGTCACCATGTCTAGTCACGACTAAGACTCCTTGTAACAGCCATGTATCTGTATCCACAGCAGCTAGAAAAAAAAATTCTTCATTTAAAAAATATATTATCTATGAATGATTGTCATATTTTTATCATATTTGTTTTGTTTTTATTTTTAACTGTAGTTATAGGAACTAGACGTTAAACAAAACTATTCAAAGCAATTACATAAAAATAAAGTATAATGTATTAAAAATAATAGGTAAAACTTATATGAAGTTTTTGTCCCATGTGTTATATGACAACATCAATTTGTTTCCTATATATAAACATATTTATGTCAAGGTTTTACCTTCAGAACCTCTTGTAATACTGTCTGGAGGATTACATGCTCTTAGGAATAATTTTCTATATTTAGAGTCACTTTTTGATACATGCTCCTTATGTGAAATCTTCAAGGCAACAGTCTCTTCTGTAACTGACATGTACTTGTAAACAACTGTAAAAAAAATTTTCTTTATGAGTTATTTTTATCAAGTTAGGAACCACACACTACCGATATTTATGGAGGTTCATTTTTTTAGAATCTTTCCTTACTAAAATAAATAAAATCAAAATAACCAAAGTTACCTGTTATTAGAAAAAAAATCCAAACACTCATGCCAAGATAACAGTAAAAAGCCCTATGCTGAAAAGAAAACTTCATCATTTCTTGTAGCATGCAAAATACTTTTATAACATAAGCATTTTCAATATATTATAATAATGTTAAGACAGTTTAAAATTTTTAAACAATCCATTTTTCTTTTATATCAGAATTTCAATTTTTGAAGTAATTTACGGGCACTCGGCATTATTGATCAACAAACAAATGTCACTGTCAAATTTTCATAGACCTTGGCCTATTGCGTCATCCATGGCCTATTGCTTACTGCATAGATAAAACTGGCCGCGAAGTTCATAGAAATTGCCATAATGAAATTAATTATTATTATTTATAAATTTATGTATTCATTAAAATAAGCCCGCTAGTATATTTAATTAAATAAATAATAATGGAAAAACGATGCATTTGTTATTAAAATGAATTATACTCCACTTCACAGAAATATACGTAGAGATCTTGAAAAGTGATAGCTGCCATTGCGCACTTAGCCCCAACCTCTTTGCAGCCAGGTGTAAGCAGGTTATATTTTGTTACATTTCTACGTTCATAGCGTATATTCATCATTTATATATCAAATTATAGTTAATTTTGTTCTGTACCTTATCAGGTAAAGGTAACTACGTCTAAGGTAAGTAACAGTGACCGCAAAAGGTAAGTAACAGTGACCGCAAAAGTGACTGCCAGTCATTAACCCATTTAATATAATAATAATAATATCTTACTCTAACCAAAAAAATAATTATAGTGAAGAATTATTAAGTATAAGATCATCACCTCTAGAATCCGTTAACTACATTAATAATTATTTCGCGAACATCGGAAAAGATCTTACACAAAAAATACAGCCATGTCACTCTGCCTCCAATGACGACCATTATACATTGCCACCTTCACAACCTAATTCCTTCGTTCTGCTAGATGCAGATGAAGATGAAGTGAATCGTGTCTTAATGAGTCTTAAATCTGATAGTGCGTCTGGTTGGGATAATGTACCAACACGATTTCTTAAATATATAAGAAAGGATATCGTTCCTTTATTAACTCACCTTGCTAACCTCTGCTTTAGAAAAGGTATTTTTCCTAGTCCTCTAAAGCAGGCTATTATTACGCCTGTTCATAAAGGTGGGGACAGAGACGACATAACAAATTATAGACCTATTTCAGTATTACCCTCAATATCCAAAATAATAGAAAAACTTATTAATATTAGGCCTTTAACATACCTTAAAGATTATAATATCATCTCAAAATCACAATATGGATTTCGTCAGGGCATTTCCACCGAGCACGCAGTAACTGCACTAACTAAAATTGTAACAGAACAATTAGACAACGGTAAACCGTGTCTAACTGTATTCCTTGATCTAAAAAAAGCTTTTGATACTGTCTCTGTCCAAATTCTTGTAAAAAAGCTTGAACATATTGGGGTACGTGGAATTCCACTACAGCTCTTAAATGACTACCTCTCAAATAGGAAGCAGAAAGTTAGGGTTACTCATTACACAAGTGAATATACAGACGTATCATATGGTGTTCCGCAAGGCAGTGTCCTGGGACCTAAACGTAAACAACCTAGAGAAGATTTCAATATAAAAATACATCTGTGTAATAATGATAAAAGCACTACCTGCAGTTGCTTAAATATAACGAGGGTTCCATGTGCTAAGTATTTGGGTGTTTTCATTGACCAGAGATTATCTTGGCATTCTCAAATCGATCATGTGGCAAACAGAGTCAGAAAATTGAGCTGGATGTTTCGGTCCCTAAGACACATAGTCCCTAAACAAGTTTTTAGCAGCTCATCTCGCCCCAGGAATCTCTTGAATGAAATATATTTTGCCTTAGTACAATCAGTGCTATCATATTGTATCCCGATTTGGGGCGGAGCTGCTAAAACGAAGTTTATTGAACTTGAGAGAGCACAACGTGCTCTAATAAAATGTATGTACTTTAAAAAACTTACATTTCCAACTGAGAATCTGTACCAAGTTAGCACACTGCTCTCAGTTAGAAAGCTGTATATTACTCAAACTATACTAAAAGTACATAAGGCTGTTTCCTATGATGGGTCTTTAACATTAAAAAGAAGGAAAGAAAATATAATTAAAATCCCACAAACAAGAACAACATTTGCGTCAATGCAATTCGATAAAAGATCTGCACAATTATATAATAAAATTAACAGTATCATTTATGTTTACCCCTACAATTACCATAAATGCAAAAAGACATTGATAGATTGGATAAAAACCCTTAGTTACAATGATACGGAAAAACTGTTAGAACATATTCATTAAATACTCACACACGCACACACACGCGCACACACACACACGCACACACACACACACACACACACACACACACACACGCGCGCGCGCGCGCGCGGGCGCGCGCACGCACATACACACACGCACACTCACACACAATACACAAACAAATATATGTACGCTAATTTTTATTTTTATTTTTTATTTTTTTGTTTGTCTTAATTGATCTATTTAAGTTTGTAGTATCACCCATAATATTATAATCAGCTAAAAGATAAAATTACTTTTTTATGAAAGGGCGGGGTCTCCTAATACAGGCAAATTATTTGCTTAAAAGGGGATCTCAACCACAAAATTTGAAATTTTGATTAGATTTGAAATAAATAAATAAATAAATAATAATGTTTTTATTGAGAACAACAACGGATCCATTTTTGTTAGCAACACTTTAGGAACTACACTTTATACACTAGGGTTAGTAACAAATACAAATACATATTTAATGAGTCATGTACTTACGAGGCATTTCATGCGGGCAATGATTCCGCATGAGATGCCTCAGCACAGGAGCTCTCGGGTCCTCAGCCACGATTTTTAGGATGCTGTTGCTACTCCCTCGAACCCTTGTAATAAGCGAGGTCACCTTTTTCCTGATTAAAGCGTGGAAACTATCCGTATGTGATTGGGCAAACATCCCCGAGGCACTACAGAATCGAGGGAGTTTCAACATCATCCTGAAAACATTGTTGTATTGGACACGCAGTGCGTTTAGCGCCCCCCGTGAACAGCTGAACCACAGACTCCCCGTGTACAGGCCTTGACAGTACGCTTTAAACAAGGTTATTTTGACGTCATCAGTACAACGATAAAATCTGCGTGCCAGCATGTTCCCGCGGACCGCCAACGCCCTACGCTCCCTTTCAACGTCGTCATCGTCTCTAAGGTCGTCGACAAGTATATGACCCAGATATTTAAACTTAGTTACCTGCTTTATATTAGCACCGTTTAGAGTAATTGAAGGAATGGTGTCTGGGTACTTGCCGGCGGCCCTGAAGACCATGAGCTCGGTTTTCCTTACATTATAAATAAGGCCATGTGATGCGCCGTATTTTTCACAAACCTTCAGCATCTCTCGGATTGATCTCGCAGTCGGGCCCAGCAGCACCATATCGTCCGCGTAGCTGATGTTGTTCACACAAACACCCCCCACCCGGCAACCGACACGCATGCCGCTGAGCTCGACTATGAGGTCATTTACATACAAGTTAAACAGCTTTGGAGAGGACAACCCCCCCTGTCTCACTCCGCACTCCAACCTGTATGTTTCCGAGAGGCAGTTTGACCACCTAACACAATTAGTCTGATTCGAGTACCAGTATTGAGACATTTTCAGCAGTTCCGCGAGCATACCCCTATCCTCCATCTTTCTCCAAAGCACTTCATACGAAACGAGATCGAAGGCCTTGGAGAGATCCAGAAAACAGGCGTATACCGGAGTCTTCCGTTCAGTGTAGTATTGGAAAGTGTGCTTAAGAGCCAGAATCGCGCTTTCAGTTGACAGTCCAGGTCTAAACCCGAACTGTGCGTCATGTATGTTTATGTACTTATCCAGACAAGACTCAAACACTCTATCCAGCACTTTTGCTACAATTGTCGCAAGAGAGATCGGGCGATAATTTCCCTTGTTCGAAATGTCTCCTGTCTTGTTCTTCACTATGGGCACCACTATCGTTTTCATCAAATCATCCGGTAAGTATGAATGACTAATGCACCTATTGAAGAACATGGACAGGACCCTCGGCATGTATACGCCAGCATATTTTAAGTGCTCAATACTGAGCCCATCGTGGCCCGGAGATTTACCTCTACGCATACTGTTTATCACTTTTTTAATTTGTTCCTCTGTGAATTTAAGTAAAGGCTCTTCACCCGCCACGGTGGGCCCACCATCTGGAGTATTGGTCGAAGAACCCAGAGGAGAGCGTACTTTAAAGTGTTCCATGAACAAATTGGCTATATCCTCGGGATTATTTCGGCCATCAACGTTCGCAGGGAGACCAGGCTTAACATCAAGCTTACCAGTGAGCATCCAAAATTTTGTAAAATCTTTTTCGGCTCTTTGTTTAGCAATTTTATCCATTTTAATTTGGTCCTGGTGTTTCTGACACCATTTTAGCCGGCCTAAAAATATTTTACGGGTCTCGCACATCTGCTCGTAAGCAGGACCAGTACTTGGCCTACCCAGAACCATCCAGTTTTGGTATTTCAGCCTGGCCTCCCGGTGCGCTTCCCTCACATGTACATTCCAGCCGCACACACGTTTATTACGCCGTTTAATTCTCACATTGTTTCTAGATTGTGCAGCCGCATCACTTACTACATCAACAAATAACTTATACATTTTATCTAATACTAGCTTATGATTAGTTAAAGTACAAGGCCCAGAGCTACATGTTTCAAATTCAGTGGGGAAGTGAATGTTTCGCAAGCCATTACTGCATAAATCTCGATACATATTAATTTAAGCCTCATCTCTTTCCCCCCATATTACAGCACTGCGCGACGTATTTTGGATCGCGGCGGTAGGACTAATTGCACCTAGGTTGCACTCAATAAATATAGGTAGATGATCGGAAACAAAAATATCCTTACTTATTCCGATGTTAACTGTAGATTGCCAAGCCGCTTGCGAGACAATACAATGGTCCAACCAACTGCCCCTACGATGAAACGTATCAAAGTAGGTGAACGTGTCTGAATGAATCCCTAAAAATTCTATATCTGCGCACACCCAAGATCTGTCCGTGCAAAAGGTATTGAGCTCGGTAAAGAATAGTTGGTCAGGTTGTGCGTTAAAGTCTCCTAGAATAATCACGGATTGAACACCACTACCCTCCTCAATTGAGCTAATTTCGCTAAGAACATCTGTGAAAATAGGTAAGTTTTCTTGCGCTTTCACTGGCATGTATACACAAAAGACTAGTACGGAGCGACCACCTTTTTTTTTTTTACTGTTGGGAAATGCATTTACGCACGACGTGTGGGACTCACCGGCGTAATACAGCCAGTACTACCCACTAAAACCCAACAAAACCTTCCCCCGTCTTAATGGGGCGTCGCAGGATCGCTTACGCATTCAAGTACGACGCCCCGACGGCAGGTCTGCCGAAGCAGACCACAACAACCACGGGGTTGCTCCACAGTCCACTCTGCTATCAGAGAAGTACCAGGAGCAACCCGCATGGTACACTGCCCTCCGAAGAGGGCCACCTCCCACCGCCCACCGATGTGGGCCACCTCCCTGTGCGTTTCTTGGCTTCGCGCCCGGTTGGGTTGCCGGGCACTACTGAGCCCCCCCACCACGACAAGGTGAACGCACGTTGGGGGGGACGGAGCGACCACCTATAGTAGCCTTGATAGCTAACAGTCTGTCACTATTGCAATTAATAGCAGAAACACTATCAAAAATGGCCTTACGCCATAGTATGGCTACGCCACCATATGGTCTACCGACCAGTAATTCGCCGCTGTCAACTGAACTTTTACCTATATACTCAAAATCAACAGATCAGCATTTAAGACCGCTGGCCCTGATTGGGGCCATTTCTTTAGATACCCTCAACTTTTCACTTTTTTTATTAACTGTTGTTTTTGATGTAAATGTGTTGTCATTGAGTGTATACGGACTCTTCATGTATTATTTTCAACATTCATTTGTTATAAACCTAAAGATTTGCATCTTAAGTTTCATCTGAACGGGTGCGCAACTTAGACCAGCTTGGCAACTGGCTTCCCTCAAGGCGGCGGATCCCTAATAATACATGAAGAGTCCGTAACTAAAGCGTAAGCTTGTTTCAACCTCAAGGACGGTGTATCCTCATGATAAATAACATAATATTCGAAAATATTTCTTAAAGTGGCTGTAATTGATGGTTTTATGTACTACATTGTAAAAAGATAATTTGTGTTTACAATAAAAAATCTCGCATATTTTGATATTGTTCACTCGGCTATAGTTTTTCCTATTAATTGTTAAGATTTTATTAGGTATTTATAAAAAATTGACCATAATAGCTTTATTTTAGCGTAGTGTTCCCAAACAGGGCCAATGAGCTGATATGATGTTATTTATCGTTTATTTGTGACAGGTTTAGTTTCAGCGTAAAGACGAACCGATCGTTTGACGGCTCAATTGACTTTCGAGGGCTCGAAGAAGCCATTGAGTATATATTGAATGAGGAAGGGGATCCCGACGTCAGCTATGACCTAGTGGCTATTCCCCTAGACCCCAGTATTATCACAAATAAAGAAGAAGGGGGTGAAGATGATGTCTTATAAAATGCAATTCCGCGAGATAGATAGACCAGGAAGAGTTAGATATGTGAAGTGAGATATTTGGAAATAGAAATGTCGTCGAATGGGACAGCACGAAGACGAACCTTAGAAATACGTAAAATAGTAGAGCAGAATCCATCTTGGCGTAAATGTGACGATTCGTACGTTGACAAGCCCTAAGCAGTGAGTAGTGTGCGAAACCTAAAGGAAGCCCTTATAAACGAACTAAAAGACCAAAGTCCTAGCATCATTTCTGAAAAAAAAATGGTGTCGAGACCATGGACCTGAATCTATTGAATACACAGTTGTTTGCCGTACAAAATAACAATCACGACTTCCAATAAATGTTAGCGACCTCAAAATATTGACCGACAGGAGAAAGATAGATGTAAACATTCCCTTTGTATTTCAAAATTATAACAAAGGCATATTAGGAGTTCATTGATGATTGTTAATGTTTTTCAGCGCTTGAATATTGTTGAATAATTCCTTGGGTGTATGCGACTGTGTGATTCTTGACGAACGCTCCTGGGACAGTACCATGCTTTTAGCAATTTTTAATGCATCTTCCAGTGTTAATTTTTCCTGCTGAAGCAAACTTTCACGAATTTTTGAATTTTGAATGCCAATAACAAACATATCTCTAACCAAAGAATCTTTCAAGGTATTAAATTCACAAGACATAACCAAATTGTTTAATACTGTTACATAATTGTCTAAAGATTCATCTATTTGTTGAGTCCTTGTGAAGAAATTGTATCTTTCTACTGTGATATTACTTTGAGGATTAAATTTCTCATCAAACGCTTTTATCAGATTTTCCAAAGAAATATTTTTTCTGTCGATGTTGAAGGAATTATATATTTCAATGCCATAATCACCAATTGTGTTCAAAAAAATAGCCACTTGCTTTGTCTCATCTTGTTTTTTAATATCATTAGCGTCACAAAAAATTTCGAATTTTTGCTTCCATCGACGCCATTGTTCCGACACGTTGCCATTGTTCACAGCTAACGGTTTTATCCCAGACATGAATATTTGTTCAGACATTTTAACTTTTTCCTTTTTTGACTTTTAATCCCATTTATGACACCATATTTCGTTTTGTTTTGGGTTCTTTATTTCTAAGGCTTTATTAATTAAAACTAGGAACTTACAGGATCGACCATCTTTATTGCAGACCAGAGACAAGAGAGATCTATCTTACAGACAATTCTTCATATCAAGTTGACCATAAATTATAGACAAAGTTACAGATACACAATATGTAACATTCATAAGGCAGATCAGTTGGTTGCTGTGCATAGAACTGCCATACGAAGCGAAAAATGCTGGTGGGTTTTGTTTACGTATATATTGTATATGGCTGTAGCGAATGCCTGGCGTCTTCACGTCCTGGCCGTGGAAGATAAATGGACCAGCTCCAGTTTCTTCGATCCATAGACCGATATTATTTGAGGACTGAAGGCACTGAAAGACCAACGAATGAACAAATGAAGAATGGACGACGTCGTACACTTCCTTCATCAATACTAAATATGAGTCAAAATGGTGTTGGACACTTTCATGGAAATTTACCTAGAAAGCTACGATGCGTTATATGCCGTAAGAAAGCACGTTGACAAGGTAAAAAATGTGTTAGAACATTGTGCATCGAAACGGGATGTTTTGAAAATTATCACACATGAGCCCATTGGCCCCAGTTAAAGACGGTGTTTTTTTTTCATAGAAGGAAGATTATTTTTTTCAGTTTTTTTTCGTAAAATTTATCTTTAGCATCCAATTGATAAATAAATAAAAGTGTTTTCAAAATTTTTTTGCTAGTTTGTATTTGGGTCCAAATGGGTTAAAGATTTTTTTTGTTACATTTATACCTTCATGGCGTATATTCATCATTTATATATCAAATTAAAGCACTTTTTTTCTGTGCATGATAAAATACCCCTACTTATGTAAAAGTGGCCGCATTGGAAAAAAAAGAATGAGAGAATATTATATATCATTTGTTAGACAATAACAACGGTTACCATGGCAACGAACAGTTAACTAATGCGCTAACTTCATAAAACTCCGCTAACGCCCATGTCAACTAAATAAAACAGTACATGTCAAATAAATATAACAGTATTTTTCACACTGTCAAATAGCTTATTTCAATGACAAGAGCTCTTGTTCATGTAGCAATATACTCTATGGCTCTTGTTGTTCTTGGTCTATGGACAAGAGCTAAAACTTCAAACTTCAAATCAAAATTTATTAAACTTGTACTGACTTGTTTATTTAACCTAATACTAACTACATTAATTCTGAATTTGTATTTTGTATTGTATTTTTACAGTTAAAACTGTAAAATATGGCTCCTAGAGTAGATAAAGGTACCATAATTATTTTAGACATCGGTAAAAATGTTGCGGAACCGAGGGAAAAGCAGAAAACAAGTTTTTTTGAATCGGCCCGAGAGTGCGCTATGCGATTTATTGAGCATAAAATAATTAGTGAAAGGAAAAATTTACTCGGAATTATTTTACTTGGTTCCAAGAAAACTGAAAATGTATTGGCTGCAGAGTGTCCAGGAACTTGTCGGTACATTGAAATGCTTGCTGAACTGAAGAACCCTACATGGCTCATGCTTCGAGATTTACCAGAGAAGGTATGTATTTATTTATAAAAACGTGTATTATTGTTACCTTTTACTTCTAAATTTCAACTTTACAAGTATATAATGTCAGTATAGTATTAATTACGATTAAATTTTTAGCCTTCCAAAACAACTGGGGACTGGTTTGATGCATTACTTGTTGCTGCTGAGCATTTTAAATACGGCGTAAATGATAAAATTTTAAATAAACAGATAATTATAATATCAAACTTTGAAGCACCTTCAGATTTGGATGAAAGTGACTTAAAACAGGTAGGAATTGTATTAAACTGAAGGATTATCCAATTTAATTTCTAAGATATAATGCATGACGAATTAAAATAACTTTTCATGTTTTAGGCTATTCATGGTTTTCAAGAGGAAGGCTTTGAACTAAGTGTATTAGGTCCAGATATTTATGATGAAAAAAATTGTAACAATGATATAGAGCTAATAAGACAGTTTGTTGAAGCTACAAATGGCGCTGCTGCAACCTTAGAATATACTCTGGGATTCCACTTACTTTTCCATAGAAAAAAAGTTGTAAATGCAATGCCCTGGAATGTTGATCTAAGTATAGGACCTAATATAAAGATACCAATTTCATCATATACAAGAATAAGAGATGAACCAGTTATCAAGAAATGGATTAAAGCTATTAGAGACCCTGTCACACAAACAATAAGTACAAGCGAAAGTATAGAAAAAAGAAAATTTTATATTAATACAGATAATGAATCAGTTATTAAGATTGATGGAAATGACAAAGAAGATCAAATCATCAAGGGTTATGTTTATGGAGGGCAAGTTATTCCATTTTCTGATTGTGATAAAAGTATGCTCTATGATGCTGGGCCGAAGTCATTAATTGTCTATGGTTTTACAAAATCTAGCAATATTACTTATCAGAATTTAAATGGTGATGGGCTTTCATATGTGTTTGGACGTAGAGGTGACAAGAAAGCAGATTATGCTGTAAGATGTTTAGTCGAATGTCTCCTTGAATTAGATTTAGTAGGAATTGTTAGAAGGGTATATAACAATGGCAATGCACCAAAAATGTTTGCACTCATGCCTGTGATAGATTCAAATAATTTTGTTTGCTTATCTATGGCAGGTATTTGTTACAAAGAAGAGATTAAAAACATGACTTTTCCACTAACTAATACAAAAAAATATGAGTGTAATAATGAACAAGTAGAAGCTTTTAAAGAACTAATAAGAGCTATGGAACTATCAAAAGCGTATGATGAAACTTTGTATGAGGATACTGATGCTTTTCCAATACTTAAAATGTGCAGCCCATCAGCACAGTATATTTTAGACTGCATTGGCTTTCGAGCATTGAATCCTGACAGTCCATTACCCCCACCAAGAAAGGAAATAATGATGTTACTTAAAGTGGTACCAGAAGTAGAAAAGAGAGCTATAAAACCTTTAGAAAAATTAAAAAAACTATTTGTATTGAATAAGGTTGAAATCAAAAAGAGAATTAAAAAAGAAGAACCAATGAATGTAGATGAATCTAATAAATCTTCCACATCCACAGCAAATGATGTAATTATGGATGAAACCCCAAAAATAAAAATTAAAATGTTTAAGAAACCATATATACAAAAAGTTGGTACTGTAAATCCAATAGAGGATTATGAAAATTTAAAGAACAATTTAAATATTAATGAACTTTTTTCACAAATGGCAGAGGCTATTGAAAGTATATTTTTCTGCAGCATTGATAAAAATTTTACAAAACCTTTGGATGCTATGTTACATTTCCGAACTGAGTGTGTCAAATCTGAACCATCTCATTACAACAACTGGCTTAAAAAGTTCAAAATGGCACTAACAGACCGTAATAGAAGTGATATCCTAAATATCATAAATGAGAATAAATTAAATTATATTTTGGAAAGCGAGAACTCTTTAAGTAACATGATTTCAGAGACTAGTGAGGAAAGTCAGCTGTATGAAAACGACACAGTACCTAATCTTACTGAAGTCAGTATAAGTTCAGAAGTCAATGATTTCTTTGATAACATGTAAAAGCCAAGCAATCATGCTACATAATATTAAAATTGTTTTATTTAAAATAAATATAATAAAACCTTTCAGTATCTTTGTTTAAACTAAAAACGAATATCTTAGTTTTAAAGTTAACCTGGTTTAATTTATATTTGTAAAGCTATACTTTAAGCATTTAATATTTTTCATGTTTCAATAAATATTTTCTTATTAATTTCAGTGTTTCATTCATTTCCTTTATAGTTAAAAAAAAAAACAAAACAACCACCAATGATGTCTAAATGTTTAATATTTAATAATTTCATAATAATATGGTCTAATCTCAAATTTGCACACAATAAATTCTTTGTATTATATCTTACAATTTAAAATGGTCTCAGCAATCATTGTACACCACTAGGTGTTATTTTATTTTGTGAATGTAGAAGCTCAAGAAACTCTTGTAATGAAAGTTCTTCCTGACAATCAGTATCCAAGTCATGCTCAAGTTGAGCTTCCATAGAATTAGCATCTGGGCTTAGGACAATATTTTCATCTAGCACAACATGATTGAGCCGCGATTTCAGGCTCTGGAGTATTTCCTCAAGTTCTAAGCATTTGTTGCGTATAGAAGTGCCAAGGTCTGATGCTGGGTCGATATCATCGATAGTAGCGTTTTCCGAAAATGAATTTGCTGGAGTACGTGTGCGGGGTGGTTGAATAATGTTGAACAAGTTCTCTGGAATACCACTTCCATTTCTGATGGAATCAGGCGTACGGGATTCTGTAAACTCTGCAAGTATCTCATCAATAATATCTTCAGCATTTTGCCTCGGGTCAACTACATCATCAGGCGTTTCGGCACCACTATCACCATTAATCATCTTATTATTAGATTCTAACTTCATGGTTTAATATTGTTTTCTAAAATTATTGATTTGTTAACAAAATAAATAATAAATAAGCACAGAGGAAACTTGTTGTCGCAGTCAGATGATTGATGATTACGGTGCTGCCAGTAGTGAATAATGCTTATTAAATATCTATGACAATAAACAAAATACTAATGAATACTCTCATTTCTTTATGAGGTAAAATAAGAATAAAAAAATTAATTTATTTCTTTACATTATGCGTATTCAAAGAATTATAAGACAACCCGAGAATAATAGGTTTTGTAGAGATATAGATTGTTATAGATTTTATGACCATACTATGGATGGCGCTATTGATATAATCTGATTAAATTAAAATTTTAATCTATTTTTTTATTTTACTTTTTCATGACGTTAGGTAAGATATAAGTTATTCTTTAAAATACCAGTTTAGTTGTCTATCAGTTATTGCAGAATTTTCGTTGCGGAAAATATAAATCTAAATAGGCCTCTTTTCTCAGCTTTTTCTCGATTTCTTCACTTTTCATAATTTTTACAGCAGCTTTACAGCTATTGTGTGAATGTGCGAAGAAGCAGTCTCTTACTGACTGTAATAAATATTTATTCATAATTGTAGTAATAATAATACCACATGAATATATTAATAAATAAAACATGATTTTACGAAACAAAATCACCTTAAATTCAGCTAATTTGGCGCCCTGAAATTTAGACAAGCAGTGCTTGAATAATCTCGTGTAATGTTTTCTACACAAAAATATTCTATTTTCAAATTGCCAATAATCCCCCTGAGCTGAACAGGAACAGCCGCAAAATCCACAAGCGTCTAAATTGTATGGAACACATTTTATCTGAGGAGTAACAAACAATTTATTTATTATTTTAACTATTCTACATACAGTAATGCCCCGGACTTACGCGATAGGTGGGACCGAGCGATGACCGTGTAAGTCGAATTCGCGTAAGTTCGCGGGGTTCAACTTTGCATATAAATACATATAAAGTATGTTTAATCGGGGCCAGAGTCTAAAGAAAACAGTAATTTAGGAGAAACATGTTTAATAAAATGTTAGACAATAGAAGAATTTTCATTGTTATGAATAAAACAACGTAAACCGCATTAAGTTTGTCGTTAAGTCGGAGTTAAGTTTTAATGTCCGTTGACGTCCAGTCTGTTTTGATGCTTGATTCCGGTAGGACAAATTCATTTGCCAATTCACGAATTTTTATTTGTGCTTTAAAGTCTTTGATAAAGTTCTGCTAATGCTCCAAAGAAAGTGTTTTTCTTTTCTTGTTAGGTTCAAATGACTCATTTTTTTGTTCTTTTGAATGACATAACTAGAGGTTATCAATAAAATAAACGTAAAACAATTCCACGCGGAACACTTCCGAACCTGTCGTAAACCTAACTAACACTAACATGGCAGAGTGGGAGAACTGATGCGCGCGGCAATCAAAAAGAAAAACCGCGTATCTCCGAATTCACGTAAAACGGGGTAGCGTAAGTCGGGGTATTACTTTATATTTAAGCTAGCGAATGTGGTAGGCAGACGTTGACCTACTATAGGGCACCAACCAGAAATTGATCGAAAAATAAAAATAATCTTGACAACAGCGCTACCAATACAACCAAAAACGGTCCAACTTTAACTAACAACGATTCAATAGTCTTTAATTACACAAAATCCATCCACGAAAAATAGTGAAGTAGTTTAAGAGGAGAAGGATTACGAGCACGCACACGCACACACACACATATAGACTGAAATTTTATATACAAAGAAGAAAATAAGCTTTCCTTACCTGAACCGCGCATCTTAAAACCTTTTTGCCAGAAAAACTATACACAAAACGCATTTGTCTTTTTCTATATTCAGGATAGTAGTCACATGGTCTATAATGATATAAACTTATGATTATTTAGGTGATACATATTTGAATAAGCTATTAACTATAAAATTAAACATATAACTTACGCAGGGAAATCATTAATCTTAAAAAAAGGTTTCCTCTTCGAAGTAGAATTAAAAGGTGCGCAGTTTTGAGGCACTGATTCTTTTGGCGGAAGTTCTTTTGGAGGTGGTTGATACTCGCGTTTCACCTTCCATCTTGGGGATTTAGTTCCATAATAGCACTTACTATAAATCTGAATAAAATAAATTAATATTAAAAATATAGAGCCTAAACTTTAATATCAATAACGATATTTCTTTTTTTTTACCCGATGTGTAAGATCATAAAAGGCGTCTCGGTTATCGTCATAAGTACCAGGACCTAAATTTGGTTTAATTTCAGGAGCATTTCGTCTCATAAATGGACTTAAAGAAGGCCCTTTCATAGGTAACACTTCGCGTTCGAGGCCTGTGCCGAAGCATATGCGGGGCGGTTTCTTCTTTGTTACCGCATACTCGAAGTCTGTTAAAAATAATAAATGATATTTACTTATATTATTGTCATAATAAATATGTTATTATCATAATAAATATGTTATTGTCATAATAAATATATTATCAAAAAAATCTATACTTTTGGTTTTACGAGCAATATATAAAAATGGAATCCTGTTATTTATTTTTACCGCCATAAAACGCTTCGTGCATGTTATTCGGTCGCAGATATCGTCGTCGGTAAGGCCGCTGCATGATCGCAGTTCACTAAACAACTGACACTCGGATGAGTTGCCTAAGGCTTTCGTGTTGTTAACGATAATAAAAAAATATGACAAAAGCGACCATTACGCTTTATTGGGTCGCACGCTCGCTTATTTATAAAGTAGTGTGTACCAAATATTGCAGTTTGTGAGACAGTATAAAATAGACAAAGCTATCCTCGAGTTACGATTATTACAATGATAAATATTTAATAGATTCATGTTGTTTTAATAAAGCTATTAATACATTTCAATTAACTATATATACTTATAAAATAAATATAACGATATTTTAAAAGAAATAGTGGTCTGGTGGTAAACAATACATAATAATATATTGTCTTTCGCCACATTTCCTGACATGACATTTCCTTATTAAATTATATTTAACAACATATTTGCATCATATGTATTATTTCGATGCAAAGAACAGATTCGTACTAGGAAAAGTAAGTAGTCAGTGTATTATATATATAAAAAAGTATAACTCAAAGTATCTTAAGACGATAAAGTAATTAAGACTAGTTTGTTATAGTAGGTACCTATCTACTATAAATGACTTCAGTTTGTATCAAACACCGCCACGAGGAAAATTTCATTATCAGCAATACTACATAATTCCTAAGTTTCGCTAAAATATGCTCAATATACTCGTATATCGAAAATGTCATTTGGTATGACGTGAAATTGGATAAAACGAAAAATTATCAAGGTCATGATAATCGTGTCACAATAGATATACTTACGATAAAAATTTAAATAACAACAAAATTAAGAGACCTTACCCAATGTAACGTCCCAAGTCATTATTGAATGAGACTAAGTTTCTAAGTATAATTTTACTTAAAACTTAATATAAAAAATTCTGAAAATAAATAAAGAAAAAATTACTGCTTTAAAAATGGGACAAAAAAATCTAAAAATAAATAAAGAAAAAAATTACTGCGCTTTAAAAATGGGACAAAAGCTTAAGGTTAAGTGATTGTATATAGGGGAAATAAATGAGCGATCTAAATACACCTATACGGTTTTACCTTTTGTTTAATAAACAAAGGAGACTGCAGTTATAATAGGCTCAATTAATATTCATTATTTACTCTTGTGACTAAGTATTTTAACTTTTAATTACTTTTCATTTCAAATATTTCATTTTTATAAGTTGTTTGGGATAAAAAGATGCCAATTATAATTTTTGAAATTTTGTCTATTTTATGTCTCTGTATATTCGGTCTTCATTCAATAAAAGATATCCAAAAGACGAGATTTGAAATATAGCTATATTATATTTTTATTAATTTAAATTTTTGATATGTACCTTCCATTCTAAATTTGAGCGGCCTAAATAGATTTAATTATAAAATCTATCAAATAAACTAAACATTATTTTAAGCTAAATATTATTTTTAGTTCTTGTCAAATATAAGTTTTTTCGTAGATAATAATATAAAAACTAACAACCTACACATTATTATACCTCTTTACTTATTAACAAATTATGAGTTATTGGGTATTGTTGATCCAAGGCTACTAGATTGGACCAACATGTAGGATCGGGAACTCCTATATTGAATCTCTAAAATATACGAATTATGAAATAAATATAGGTAGGTATATAAAAAACATAGAATGATTTGCTTGGACATACAATGGTCTGGTTTCATTCCCTTTCTTTCGTTATTGGAAAATGTATTTTTTAAATACCATCTGTAAAACAAGTGGATCTAAGAATATACGGCGACTCACTACAAAAGCAAATACTACCGACTAAAGCCCAGCTGCCCAATAGAACCTTCCCTCATTCACTTAACGTCGAACAATACAGCCGGCTGTCTCCAAACCATGCATGGAATGTTGGCTCACCCAATCTTGGGATTTTGGATAGTTTTTTTTAATACAAATCTATGAAAAGGTATGGCTCTTACAGACCACTCTTCTATTAGAGAATTATTACATTATTATTATTAGTTAGTAGATCAAATTCGTTATCAAAACTTTAAATTGCTCGTGAGAGTACTGATTAACAACAAAATGCCTAACGTTTTGTTGATAAAAAGAAAAAAAAGAAATCCACGTCGCCCGAGCATTGGGGGTTTAATATATTAAAAAGCAGGAAAAGTAGGGAGGGTCTCACTTGTCTACCTCGTAAGATGTGATGATTAATAAAGAAAAAGTATTTTAATATAACACAGAACTTTAGATACAGCTCATTCTATGTACGAGTATGCATATGCTGCCAAACTTGAATCATAACGTACAAAATCCGATATTTTGAACGCTTAACGAACTATCAGTTTTAATATAATGCTCTAAAAGAGGCACAAAGGGATTTATTGAACTACATTGTAAATGGTTTATGTTAATTTATTTCTTTAAATTATAATTTTTATAGTAGGTAAACAACCCACATATATTTTACTAATTGTTTCTCAATCTTATGATTAAAAGGACCGTTATAGTCCAATCGGAATCCGGTTTGGGAACAAAATACTTTATTTAATTGGGAACAAACCTGAAGTTTTATGATTTTAAAATGTTAGGTTTATAAGGAATAGAAAATCGTAAAATGCCCCCGATGTCCAGCTACCCCCGAGAAATGTGGGGACGCAAAGCATTGAAACACACGCAAATTATTACAGTAAACCGGAATTGAAAAAAAGTATTTCTCAACGCTTTGTGTCCCCCTATTTCTCGGGGGTAGCTGGGCATCGGGGGCATTTTACGAAATTTCTATTCCTTATATAACATTTTAAAATCCTAAAACTTCAGGTTTTCAATAAAAAAAATCTCTTAAAAATAAACGGATTCCCATTGGTCTATTAGGAAAATCAAATGAGTCGATTTTTTTAAAGTAAAACTAGCAACACTCGACAATCGACATTATCAGCAATCGGAATCGACATTGACTGACATTTTCATGTTGACAATTATGACAATGTATTTGTTATTCTTCGTTTTGTAATGCAATATTTTTAACCAATATAATTGGTTTTGAACAGAAAATCAGTTTATTTTACAAACTAGAAGTTCCATTTATATACTATATTTCAAACTTTTACCTTTAACTGTACAGGTAAGTGGGCTTAATTTAATTTTGCGTCTAGCAGCCAGGGTGTCATATTACATGTGAAGTAACTTTCATTATGTCATGCCTGCTAATAGAATATTATATCATTATCACACACTACACAGTATTTACTGGCGGTTTAAGTGAATGGACTGCTTAATGTAACATAGTTATATTTTTTAATTCAGTAAGAAATATAAAAATGTACTAAAAGTTATAATTTTTTTTCACTTGAATTTGAGTATAATATCAATGAAGATATTTTTCAACTTTAATCTTATTTGCCCTCTGGATCGATTCTACCTAAATATCATATTATATTATCTGAAAGAAAGTTTGCTAAGTCTGAACTCATTTTTCAATTAATATTTATACTTAAATCCTGAAAACTGTAAATCATACCTAATAATTATTATAATTCTATTATTTTTGCTTTCAGAAAATGCCTCTCAATACTAAATTACTTGTACCAATGGCTTTAGGCTTCTCCCTAGTCACAGTATCGGCTCTTGTAGTATACTATGTGTTTAAAAAAGAAGAAGAAGATGATAAACCAGTTAGATCCACTAAGGTGAATATGATAGAGGTACAAGTACCAAAAAGTATAGTGGCTGCTTTAATTGGTAAGTATTTTTAATACATAATATGTTAAGACTATTTTGACCTAGACTAGTGTTTATGTATTATTTTATGGTAATTGTTCTGCCTTCGTGTTTAATAATTTGTGATTGTACAAATCACAATCCTTTTAATTGAATAAATGTGCTATCTGATGCAGAAAACAAATTACGCTGGTGTGATTTACTAGATACAAACATTTGAACACAATTTTTATTTTTTTTCATAAATAAAATTAATGCAACTATAACTTTAAACTTTAAAATTTTGTTTCTTTAATTGTTATATACATATTGTCTTTTAATATAATATTTTCCTTACATTTAAACATATGTTATAAGTTACAATTACAATAAATTATATAAAAATATGAATGGAAAAAATAATTATAGTTAAGATTTATGTACTAAATTATATGTAAACATTTATTACAATAAAGTAAAATTACATTTCTAAAATACAAATATTTCTTTAGGAAGTTTTTGGAAATGTTATGTTACTTTTATTATATAACTAGTAGATCATCCTGGCTTTGTTCGGGCTCGTCGCTAAGTACGTTTTAAATAGAGTTTTTCGTTTTAAATAGTTATTAGCCAGCATTAGCCATATAATTTTTTTTTTTGTTAATTTTCTATTTTTTTTCTTTATTAAAACGTTCCATGGACCTTAGAGAACATGAAAAAAAGTTAAGCCGAATTAGTCCCGCCATTCTTGAGTTATGTGCTTACTAACATTCATTTTTATTTATATATATAAAGAAAATTTTTATTATATAAAGAAGAAAATAAGTATTTTAACACATTAAATGATTTTAATGATTACGTATATTTTGAAGCATGAGATCATGATAGCACAAGATACATATTAAAATACTTAATTCAAGGTTACTTCACTTGACAAGTTTGAAATTCCATATTGTGTCATTTTGTTATTCCAATAATCTTAAAACAACACTTACATTATTAAGAGCTAGGTCTAACATATCTAGTAACATATTTTATTCATTATTAATAAGTGTTTTATTAGTAGTGGTTACAAAAAGTCTATTAACATGACATGTCAAGTTTATTTATTACTAATTTCACAATCTTAGATTTAGTAAATTAATAAAAAAAAAGTATAATGTTATTTACATGCACTTATGTTTTAAATAAAATCTTTTCAGTTTTTTTTCTGGATATATTTTGGTTCCCAACGTTTCAAATGCTTTACAGCAATCATGGTCATGGAAGGGATATCGGGAACCAAAAATCAAAGTAAATCTACGAAAAAATACGAATAGATAGTTTTATTTAGAATGTAAAATATTCGCGTAAATCTAAGAAAATATTATAGGTAATTAATTATGTGATTTTAAAGTTTTCATCTATTTTGAAGAGTTATCTCATCTAAACTGTTTTTCCTTACCAAATTAGGACAAATACTTATAAAAAGTCTAGATAAACCTATCTTTTGACGTATTCGTGATAAAAAATTGACATCCATGTCAAATCAAATATCTAATTACTTTGTATGTAGCTGTCTTTATTTTTTTTGACCTTACATATTTAATAATGATATTGTCAAGTGAATTGGTAGATATCATATTTCTTTATATTAATCAATATAGAACTTTAAAAAATGTTTTTTTTTTTATTATTATTGTGCTACATATTATAATTTTATTGCCCGATATTTAAATTGGAATAGAAACTTAATAAAGTAGATGTGGCTCCAATTACATAATTTCATAAAAAAAAAATTAGTATTACAAGTTTCGCCTTGTTTAAATGTAATTAAATGTTTATTGTAGGTACAGCATTTCACTAATGCAATGCAAATGTTTCAGTTCCTGGATATCAACATCTGCATCCTGGATGCAAATGTTAATTGCCTTTGTTATTCAGATAAAGTATACAAATCTTTAATACGTGTTCTGTTTACAGCTCACAAAAAAATATGCCAAAATATATATAATACAAATAAAATTATGCATATAGAAATAAAATTTTGAAATTAATTAAAATTAAAATGACATCTTATTTCATCGATATAAATTCCAATAATATGATCTTTGGGTTTAGTTGAATTACAATTGAACAATTTTAATCGACAATTAATAGTAACCAAGCTTAAAATTAGTCGCTCCCCAGCAAAACCTTGTATGTTAACGAGATATAAGGGTTATCGATAAAAATACGTCATTATGTAATATAAATACGTATTATACTTTTATTCATAATGCTGTAATGCAATTATTTTATGGTATTAACTTCTTTATTAGATATTAGAGTAGGATCACGCATAATTTACTCATTCTTATTTATTTTAAAATGTTTAAATTGTGTACATTTGCGATTTCACTCGCATCTGTATGTCTATTTAGTCCCATATAGTAAGCTAGCACTAAGAACGTAGAAATAATATCTTAAGCTTTATTATTGGATTTATAAGAGCAGTCTTAAAGTTAATTCATACATTTTAAAGCTCATCAAAACAAATAAAATAAGCCCAAAATAAAAAGTCTTACTTGTAACTATTTAAAAGTTCTGTCCACCTCCTGATGAGCTCAGTAGTATTAGAAATTATAATAAGATATCCGTATTTTATATATACGCACACATCAAAAATTAATTTAGATACGTATTAAAGTGTATTAAAAAAATTTAACGCCGTCTAGCCTTACCACTAAACAGATACCTAGATAAATAATTCTAATATTATTTAACACCGTCCAGGGATGATACTTGTAGTTATGGCTCGACAACTTTTTTCCCTTGTATGTCACTTACTATTACGTGTGAACTTGAAAATTGCTATCGAATCCAAATCAAGATTCAATCGATTTGAAATATTGCTCATAGCCTACAAATGCTGAATGCAGCAAACCTCCACTTTATATATAAAAAAACCCTACTTCAAAACAAAAAAAAACAAAAAAGTAAAAAATAAACAGTAAAAAATGATGTGCTTTGATTTGTATCGGTTGGTACCGATTCCGAACGTATCTGATTAGGTATCTTTATTTTGTTTGTTTTTTAAGTTTCTTTAAGTTTTTTTTTTCATTCTTAGTGTAGACATAGTTAATTGTAGCAAAATAAAAAGAAAGTATTTTAAAAATTCTGTAGGTGAAAAATCAATCATCCCCTATTTTCTACACTCAGGGGTGGATTTTTTTTCAAATTAGTATACTACCAAATACAAAAAGAATAATCGAAATCGGACTTCATTGTAAAATATTATGCGTGGTCAGACATAAAAAAATAACAAAATATACGTGTCGAATTGAGAACCTCCTCCTTTTTTTTCGTCGTTTACAAAATGGATTTTCGTACTTACCTATCAGAATAAAATGCCAACCTTGGAGTAATCCTTTTGTTCGCTAAATATAAGAAATAAGTTTTAAGATAAAAAAATATAAAAATAAAACAAGTTATTAAGAATCATAAGTCAGGTGGAATAGGGCAAATTATAATTAATTATTGTTTCAAATTTAAAATATAAGGTTACGAGGTCGCCTGTCGTCGATGTCGATCCGACTAAAGGTGTCAGCGCACTACACCGTCTCATACCATAACCGTGCTAGGACCGTGTCAATTTCAGTCATTCACATTATATCGAATTTAAGCATTTTTAATATTTGGTTTAAGTTAAAAAAAATCAAAAACATACTTAGAAAATTTACTTTAATTACAGGTCGTAATGGATCAAATATAAAGCAAATAGAAGAAAAGTCAGGGGCAATGATTCACTTTAAGAAGTTCAGCGAAAAGGATTACGATGTTTGTATCATACGAGGTCGATCTGGTGCGACGCAAATTGCCGAGACTCTGGTACACGATTTTATCAAGCAGCAACCATTGATCGTGGAGAGTAACATGAGTGTTCCTGGCTGGGCAGTTGGTAGGATAATAGGTGAGTTCGTATCTTAAATGTTCAATTATATGAAACTAGTGGACCGCCCGTTGCTTTATTCAGGCGCATGGCTTAGTATGTATTCAATAATTCATCCCTTTTTAACGTTCCACTGCTGAGCACTGGCCTCCCTTCAATCCGAGGGGGATCAGGCCATAGTCCACCACGCTGGCCAGGTGCGACTTGGCGGACTGAGCATCTCTTTCGAAAACTTACTAGGTTCTCTCAGACATGCAGGTTCAGTTCATTTCGAATTTTTATATAAATACTTTAAGTCTATATATACAAAATACATATGTATGTACATACCGATCTTATTTCCATTGAATTAAAATATAATATTTGGAATCAATTTTTAAATCTAAAAGGCTCAATTAATTGCGTTGTCTAATAATTACACACAAACGTTTTATACGTAAATTTATTATAAGCTATATAGCTATTATATATTATATAATAGCTCCTCTTTTTTGGAAGTCGGTTCAAAAGTGTCGTGACGGTAAAAATATTATACTTTTTTCTCGTCATTCGCCAAGCATGCTGAGTAATGTACGATAAGCAACTTAGTTTCAAAATGTTAGATTTAAACAAGTTTATTTAATTTGTTCTAGGGATGGGTGGTGAGTCAATCAACGATATAAGCCATTGCAGCGGGGCTCGAGTGAAGATAGAAGGGCAACGTGGGGATATGTCGCCGACAAGACAAATCACCTTCCGAGGAACTGAAGAACAGATTAATAAAGCCAAGAAACTTATCGAGGAATGTGTAAGTTTAACGTTTATAGTTTATTTGATATTTATGATCGAATTCAAAAATACAGAGGATGAACCGATATTTAAAAAAAGGAGGAAAAAAGAGCTTATATACATCAAGAGTGAGTGAGTATGAATGTGGAACCAGCCACATAATTTAGTTGAATAATTTTCATCATTTTTAACTGAAAACTTGTTTATATCAGAATAATTATATGTCGTACGAAAACTGTAGAAACGTCAAAATGAAATGAGCGAGTTTAAATTTAAGGTTTTAACTAGTACCCACTGACAACCTCCCAACTCCATAAATACATAGATTAAGATGGTATAAAATTTTTGTATTCCATATTTATATATTTAAAGCTATAAGACAGAAGTACATCAAAGGTTTAATAATTTAGCAAGTTAAAAATAGCTTTTAGGTAATAAACCCAGGAATAATAGCTAACTCGATACAAATCGATAAGTCGTTCTAGAGATTGTTTCAAATATCTCAAGTCACAAATCTTATTTTATAATCTGATGACTATTATACGTGTGTGTATGTTTGTTTGTTTTTGTTCATTACTCCTTGTTCGGAAGATAGTTTGAGACCCTGGGAAGGACATAGATACTTTTTATCCCGGAAATCATCCCTTAAGAGGGTGAAAATGGGGATGAAAGTTTGTATTGGGAAACAAGCTAGGGACAACCCCGAGCAAAGCGAGGGTGAGTCGCTAGTTTTACATAAGATTATAACATGAACATTTCCACACAAGGTGGAACAAGAGCGTTGCAGACGTGAAGTGGAACAGTCCAAGCCGCCGCGCGTGTCCACGCCGCCGGGGTTCAGTCACTCGCCCACTCAGGACTCGTCAGGTGACGTCAAGCTTGTGTACACGCGTGGTAAGATAACCGCATGCTTGCCTGGCTCGCTTACATTGTAGATATACATACCTATTGTTTTATATAAGTTCTTTTTGCATGTCTTTTCTAATTGTAAAGAGAAGTGAATTTGCTATAAGAATAATAATCATGTCCTCTTTATAGTTTTTTGTTACGGCCAATCTTACTTAAACTGGCCATGTGCGAACATATAGTGCACGAGTGTATGCGCTATACGAGATATATACAAGCGACTCTATTTCTTTTACAACTAATTTCGACGTTATTACTACGTACTGTAAGAACCTATTTAGTTATCGAAAGAAGTAAAAAGATTAGGCAGAAGACGTAAGAAGATGCAGGTTGCATTTGGCCACTTGAACTATGGCCAGTTTCCCCTCATATTGTGGGGTCTCTTTGCCGAACAGTGGAACGTCATAGGACTGAATTATATTATTATTGAAAAGATGTAGCTATTCTGTAACTAAATATCCGATAGTAGATTCCTCACGGACTGACTACACTGATATTTAATTTAAATTTAAAATGTAAAATTGACGATTCAAAAGTTCTTGTAAAAGTCTATTTGAATAAAGTATATTTTGATATTATTTTTTGAAGTTTGTAAGAGCTGGATAACTGAAACCGTAATTTTAGTACAATATATAATAAAATATTCAACTGTCGAACTATAAAAAACTCTTACAGAATAGCACTACAGGGTCTATTATAGTAAATAAATGTTTCTTTACATTTAGAATAATTACTTAAAAAAAAATTGGAATGTGTTTTCTTGCTGCGATTTTGTTAGTTCCCAATTAAAATTTTCAAACAGTTTTAGAATGTTAGAGAACGGACGTAATTCGGAGAAAATCTCTACGGGAATAATATGAACAAATTTTTTATTGCCACGCTGTACAGAGAGAACGGGTAAGGAGGAGGGGGAGGGGGTTGTGGTATTGTAATGAGCATATATGTGTTACAATAGTAGGATGTTACATATTATCTGCGGCATATTCACTCTAGTCACTTCTTCTACGTGACTAAAAACGAATCAAAAAAATAATACTTTCTTAGATTTACGCGAATATTTGACATTTTAAATAAAACTGTCTTTTCGGATTTTGTCGCGGATTTATTTGCATTTTTGTGTCCCTACGTTTCGAATGCTTTACAGCATCCATGGTCACGGGAGAGACTGAGGTGTTACATGTCTTGAATGTATAGTTGTTACTGACAGCCTACCCACAATTAACAAAATGAAAATTGCACCAATTACATTACAATATTTTTTAACTTTAAACATTTTTATAATTTTAATTATAATTGAATATGGAATATTATTTATTTAATTTTTTCTATTATTTTTATAATTGTTACAATTTTAAAAATATTAATTAGTATCAATTCCATATTCTATTATAATTAAAATTATAAAAATGTTTTAAAGTTCGAAATATTGTAATGTAATTGGTGCATTTTTCATTTTGTTAATTGTGGGTAGGCTGTCTGTAACAACTATACATTCAAGACATGTAACACCTCAGTCTCTCCCGTGACCATGGATGCTGTAAAGCATTCGAAACGTCGGGAAACAAAAATGCAAATAAATCCGCGACAAAATCCGAAAAGATAGTTTTATTTAAAACGAATCAAAAAAGTCATCCCAATGACTGTTAATTGAAGTGAAAATTTATAACTTTGGAGTAACTGTTTTTTTTTAATAATTGTAAAAATTAATTATAGTAGGTATGAATAATTAAAATGTCATAATTTGTAAATTGAAATTATTATTAGTCTGGTTTTCACATCCATTGGCACTCCGAGCAATAATTGCACTAAAAATAAATTAAAGAAAAAACAAATATACATAGAAAATGACGTAGACATTATTATTTACATTTTGATATAGTTTACTTATTAATCAAGACATGAGACGCTGCGCGTCGCCAGTCTGCGCCAGACTGCATCACACGTAGCATGTCGGTGACGCGAACCCATAGGTTTTGCCTCTACTAAAAATCGCTCAACGCGTCTAAAGAAGTTTTCAATTCAATAAATATAACATGGTAAAATAAAAATATATATATATTTATTGAATTAATTTTAATTAAACACATTTTAAAAGATCGTTTGCACTCAGCGTCGAATTGTAAAGGAGTGAAGTTCATCAATGAGGTGAGGGAGTCATTTGAAATCACAGTGCACAGTTGTTTGAGACAATTTCTCTTTATTTAATCTCCATGGGATAGCCATTTCTTATGCTTTATCAGTATTGCCATTATAATATATTTTTCTATATAATAAATTATATGGGTACACTTTCTGTTATTTTACGTAGATTATGGGAAGTATAATTACAATTGAAAAATATAGTTAAAAAAAAACATTTTTTTTGTGTGTGTGTGCATTGTGAAGCTTGTGTGTTTTTCTTTTTTTTTAGTTTTGGGTTTTGTATTTTGATATAGATAAATTGGGATATGCATATATTAAGTATTTTAAAAAATATTTAATGGCTAAGTTTATTGTATGTGTTGTTATTTTTTTTTTAAGGGCACTCTCCATGTATTTTATATCTTCATTTAAATAAAATTTAGTATCATATTAACATTATAATAAATTAAAGGGTTTGTAATGTATTTTTATTACTTTATGTGGTCAAAGTATTATATGATAGTGAAATGAGTGAGGAATATATTACTTTTTGAATTATAGTGGTTTATTTATTAATAATAATAAATATGGATAAAAATATATTTTAATAATTTTATAACTGTAACAAGAACACCTTATATAACTTTTATCGTTTTTTTTTTAGAAATGCAATGTTAAATGCAGTACCTAACATATTCTGTTTTTATCGTCTGTGATTTTCCGACGAACCAACACCGCTAATTCGTTTAAATGAACAATTTAATTTGTACGTGGTTTTAAATTATTGATGTTTTTCTCCATATTTTTAAAGAAGTCTCCTTTTTCCAAATATTAATATTTAAATAAAATACTAGCGACCTGATTCGCTCAACCCCTAACTACACGCCATATATTGTGTAACTTTTTTGCAACATACTAAAATAAATCAGCACTTAGATGTACCAAGAAAAAAAGTACCTTTTTGACAATTGATGCACAAAGTATTTAGTAACATACCGACAGACCTACTAACAAGCATTTTTATTGATAGTTTTGTATGAAAGATTTGTGTTTGATCTTATATTTTTTTTATTATTTACAGATACAACAACATCCACAATTGAGGTTTACGTGTCAGCGGTATCGTCTCCTTCACGATTCTGGGTACAATTTGTGGGGCCTCAAGTTGTTCAATTAGACGAACTGGTCGCTCACATGACAGAATACTATGGGAACAAAGAGAATAAAGCTAACCATGCTGTAAGTGAAATTTATAATTTATATTTGCTGAAATACATAATTAAGTTTTTGTCAGTTTTTTTTTTCGATCATAAGTATAGTAAATTCAACTATTAAAGTGCTAGTGAACTAACATTGTATTAGCACATTAAGTATATTTATTTTGTGTAATTATAATATTTAGTTGATATATTTTAATATTAAGTTTATACCATTTAATGCTGTACTGTACCTGCACCACACTAAATTAACTTATTTTCTCACTTCTGTAGGGTTTCTGGAAGAAATCTCTTAAAGAGATAAGTTATCCTTTGTCGACATTCTATTTATTTTGTATAACATACTCGTATATTTTATAGTACATAAATAAATAAATGGTACATAAAGAAAGGCAGTGGTAGCCCAGTGGTAACGCGTTCGCTTGGGAAACCGAGTGAAGCGTGTTGAAATCCCGGGTCTTGCACCTCTGATTTTTTCATGTGCGAATCATTTCTAACATGATTGCCACTTGCCTTACGGTAAAGCAAAACATCGTGAGGAAACCTGCATGTCTGAGAGAACCTAGCAAGTTTTCGAAAGACATGCTCAATCCGCCCGCTCTTGTCCAGCGTGGTGGACTATGGCCTGAGGCCTCGTATTGAAGGGAGGCCCACCCCCAGCTGTGGGACGTTACAAAAAGGGCTAAATACACACTTACACACAAATAAATAAATTACCTATTAGTTTTGGTATATTATTTATGGTCCATTCGTTAATTTACATTTTATTACAACAGCTGGAAAAAGTGTCCGTGGGTCAAGTGGTGGCGGCCGTGTTCCGTCACGACGGCCGCTGGTACCGGGCGCGGGTGGACGATTTGCGCCCTAACGAGTTTGATGCTACGCAACAGGTATAGCTTTATATACCAACTACATATTATGAATGTGTGTGAGTGCGTGTGTGTGCATGTGTGTGTGTGCGTGTGTGTGCTCACGCTGAAACGGCTAGACATATTTGGGCAAAAATATGCAGGTAGTCTATTTTTGACACATTATTATTATTGTCTTTGCCTGTCATTTACTCGTTAAAACGTCTCAAATGAGTCAGTTATATAATCTCTCTCTCTCTCTCTCTCTCTCTCTATATATATATATATATATATATATATATATATCCACATAGATTTTTTCTACTGATTATAACAATTTTTTTTTTAGAAATAGTACTACAATCGAGCGAAAAAAGTGACTAGTGAATTCACTCTCATACAATAACAGTGCCCCTACTAAAAGGCGCTCACTTTTAGCACATTTCCGACTGTTTAAATTATAATTTGGCCCTTTCCCTTCCATGAAGGTCTCCGAGGTACTTAAGTATATTTAACATTCAGGTAGCTGATGTATTCTACTTGGACTACGGGGATAGTGAGTACGTCGCGACACATGACATATGCGAGCTGAGAGCTGATTTACTACGACTCAGATTCCAGGTATTTATAATATACTAGCGACTCATCCTCGCTCCGCTCGGGTTCGTCCCTAGTTACGTTTTAACGTTTATTATTGATTTCTCAGAGGTGACATATTTTCCCGCAGTAAAAAGTATCCTATATGTTGACCCGAACAATCACCATACCAAATTTCACAAAACCAAATAATGTCTATATCAAAATATAATAATGTCTATTTTAATAAAAAAAATCCAAAAAATATTTAATGTACAGATGTAGTGAAGTAGATTTTTTTTTGTTTTTCTAGAGGTGAACCCAAGCGAAGTGAGGGTGAGCCGCTAGTTTGGAAATAATTATTCCTTTATTAAGACATTCATATAAACCATTTCATATTTGCAGGCGATGGAATGCTTCCTCGCAGGAGTGAAGCCTTCGGCCAAGGAGGAGGTTAAACAACAGTCCGGTGCCCGCAAATGGCATCCTCAAGCTATAGAACGATTTGAAGAGCTTACACAGGTATAGATATACTAGCTTTGTTCATAAGTAGTATTCTAGAAGGTTGTTTTTGCTTACTACTACTAAACATAAGACTAAAATGTTATGTTTAGGATTTTTAACATTACTTGGTTGGGATGTTGATGATACCATGTTAAGAATCGTTCAAAAGATTAAAAATATCTATTTATTTAAATATGTGCCTTATTTTCATTTGTTGATTTCTGTAACGATATTTCAAAATTTTATTTGTATAAGCAACATTACGTACTATTTACCCGTATGTACTTTTAAAATTATCCTTATTACTTTTAGTCATCGATCAAAAATGTACTGGATATGTATCCAGTACTTTTTTGATCTATCAGCGACAAAAGTGTCCTCGCCGAATGAGCGCTCATTTGAACATTTGAGCGCGCTTTTAATTTTCTTTTGTGAAAATAACTTTAAGCTTTGCTTTTAAGGTTCAATTTACATTGTTGTATATTTCAACTAAAATAACCACAATTGGTGACAGTTAAGAGATTTTTTGCTTGGGATTCTGTATCTAGTATTTTTAACAATGCTTTTAGTTTATGATTATATCATCTACTCCCACTTTAAGAATCCATCTCGTAGACTTGTCAACTTGACCGCCAGGTGGCGCGTTGGAAGCCGCTCCTATCACGAACGTGTACGTACAAGAAGAGTTCGCTAGTAAGCGATAGGGAGAAGGAGATTCCTGGTATCAAGCTGTATGACGTCACTGATGGTAATCCCATATCCCATAAATATCATAAATGCGAAAGTTTGGATTGATGTTTGTTACTCAATCACGCCAGAACGACTGAACGGATCTGGATGAAATTTGGCACAGACATAGATTAGTCTGGAATAGCACATTGATTATTATTTATATTATTTTTATCCCGAGAAAATGTACGGTTCCCGTGGGATAGATTTGTTTTTGTTCATCACAGAGCAAGGGATCGAATATCTATTCCATACTAACCGTTAAAAGTTCTAGGGACGATACCCAAGCGAAGCGAGGGTGAGTCGCTAGTTACATAATACTTTTGGCTTATTTTAGAGTTGTTTTATTAAACTATAATATTGACAAATAACAGTAACTAAATACATATTAGAAATATATACCTATTAGAAGACATTTAAAGTCTCTGAGTGTATGTTGGTTGATCCTTTAAATTTAAACGGCCGAACAAAATATATGATATTCTATAAATAATTGATTGTAATATGCCTAATACGCTTTATTTAATTATTGATTTGTTTTAATTTAATTGAGATATTTGCCAAAGAAGTTTTACTTCAACGTTTAAAGGTTACACACACCCATTTTTTTTATATTGTTCTAGAAGGTTCAGTAGACGTAGGCGAAGCATTAATAGCAGAGGGTTGGGCTGAAGCAAGCACATCGCCACGGTCTTCTCCACCGCGCTTCAACACCCCGCACACACCCTTCGGGGATTTGAGTAATTCTAGGTATTCAGCCCTTATTTTTCAGCCCTTACAGGGCACGAGCCTCCCTTCAAAATGACGGGGATCAGGCCATAGTCCACCACACTGGCGGAATTCACATGTCTTTCGAAAACTTGCTAGGTTCTCTCGGACATGCGGGTTTCCTCATGATGTTTTCCTTTACCTTAAGACAAGTGGTATTTAAGTTTGAAATGATACGCACATAAAAATATCAGAGGTGCGAAAGCCGGGGCTTGAACCATAATAAATATTATAAAGAGGTTGTCTGTAAATTTGTATGTAGAAAGTAATCTCTGAAGTGATCCAAATTTGAAAATTCACTAAATAGGAAGCTATATTATAATATAGCTCTAGATTGCTATATATTATTACCATAAAAATAAGTTTACTATTAAAATAATAGCTTTAATTGAAGCCAGAAAAATAGCCGTTGAGATACTGGCTTTTTGGGAACCAAAATTCAAAGTAAATCTGCGTAAAAAACCGAAAAGATAGTTTTATTTAATATAATTAACAATATTCTTTATTACAGGGTGTTAGGTATGCTGGACCCGAACGCGCGCGCGTCGTCGATGCCTAAAGACCACAAAGACGATAGAACTGTACTTAAACCAACCACTGATATATTGAAAGGTAAAATCCCATTAATTAATATATTAATATAATATTATAAATGCAAAAGTTTTGATGGATGGATGTTTGTTATTTAATCGCGCTAGAACGGCTGAACGGATCTGGATGAAATTTGGCACAGAGATATATTATAGTCTGGAATAGTATATAGATTACTTTTTATCCCGGGAAAATGTACGGTTTCTGTGGGGTATATTTGTCTTTGTTTTTTTCACTTGGAAAGAAAACTAGTGAAGCGAGGGTGAGTCGCTAGTATAATATATTTTGTCTAAATGTTAACTTAATAAAAAGTTCCTTTATAAAAATGTTATGTAAAATATATAAAAATGGCGTACAAACATACACACTACACATAAAACCTAAATCTCTGGTTATATTTTTATTATATCTAGTTTAACATTATAATTTTTTCTTAGAACTCGACAAAGTCTTACCTTTTATCCATTTCACAGTTTGCTATTTCCTAAACCTTAAGAGACCTAACAAGAATTTTACAGTCAAAATTCTGAAACAATTTTTTTTTTCGTTTTCCAGATAATATAACTTCACGTTCTCTCGCCTCCGGTCTTGAGTCGACGGACAAAATAAAGTCCGTATCAAACTTCGATTTAGCGTATTCGGATAAAAACCAAAGCAACCCCAAAGTGAATGGTTCACACGATTTCATTTCATCCGAAAAACAAAACATAGAAACCGAAGTATTAAAACCGAATAATCCCAGAGAGAAAGCGAATATGAATAGAATCGATTCTCATCATAGTAATTTAGAAGCTCTTGGAAGACAATAAGGTGAATATTATAATTGTTAGTACTAATTGTACGATATATGATGGGTCTTTTTGTATGTATGGGTTTGTGTGCGTGTGTGTGTGTGTATGGGCGTGTGACTGTGTGCGTGCGAGCGTGTGTGTATGTTTTTTACTCCTTTACACTGAAATGGCTGGATGGATTAGAATGATATTTAGTATTGAAGTAGCACGTAGGCATAGCGTATTAATAGCATTAAAATTTGCTAAAAGTTAAAGTTGCCAATATATAATATTATAAATAAAAAAAGAACAATCTCCTTCGTGTCTTCTCCATTCTACGTGACATTGGCGAAGTAATCTGTGCTCAACTGGCAAGCTTTGAAGCTATTATCAAAAAAAATGTATTAATTGATAAATAGAAAAAGCTCCTATGGATGCACCCGAGTGAATTAAGGATAAATAAATTACTATGAAATTTGAGAGAGTATGTAAATAACTTAATAGTGGCCAAACTCAAGTAATTTTTTTTAGAAACAAACGATGTCACTCTTTCGATGCATTACGTTAATATAGTCTGTCAATCACGCTATGTGACTGGATAAGCCAAAAAACTTACCGATTTTGACCGATTTCAAAAAAGTTGGAGATACTCTTTTCGTGTATATGTTATACGATCTTTGCTATTTGTCAATTTATTTGCTTTTTTTTTGGAAAAAATTTGACCTAAAGGGACGTGAATGAGACCATCCATCAGTTTTTTTTTTAATCCAATCACCGTTCACTTCAAATGTGAAGTTCAATTAATGAATTGAATAATGAAAATAATAAACACCCATGAATGGTGGAATAATTAAATTAAAAGTAATTTTGAAATCGGTGTACTATTGGTTATAAAATGAATATATTATTAATCTTTTGACCCGCAGGTCGCGAGTTCGACTCATTTCAAGGATTGTCCTACAGTGCTTATACTAAGCTTATATAAGAAGATAGTACAAAATGTGAATAGTGTAAAAACAGAACTATCTCAAAGTGTAGTGTAATTAGATGTGTGTTTTTGAAAATGGCCAATTATAATTTATTATAAAAGTATGTTTTACGTTGATTTTGTGTGAAATTATTTATGACTTAATAAAATTTATTTCATTTGTAGCTTTATGTTAGTTGAAATTAAAAATCAATATTGAATTAGTTCCTGCCTTACTAAAGTATTAACAGATTTTTTTAAAGTTGAACCAATTTTCGTCTTTTAACACTAAAACCATATTTTATATATAATTGTATGTATATAGCTTAAGTGTATAGTTCGTGGCTAATCTCCTACCTCAGTAATATTCTTTGATGTCTTTAACACTATTGTGTGTAAATTATTAAAAAAAAACAACAAATTTTACTTATCATGTTTTAATTTAAATCTGACGTATTAAAACTTGGTAAGAAATATTTTTTATCTGTGATTGATGTGTAGTCTGCCTTGACGTTTTGCTTTGTAGTTGCCAGTGTAAAATTCAATATTTAGAATAGTTTTTTTTTAGATATAAGGATTTTTTTAGTTAATAACATAGATATAGTAAGTGTACTTAGTAAATACTTCATTTATTTGAATTTCGCAATTGAAAAAAAATGTAACAATGACATTTCATTATATTTTTTTATTTTTTATTGAAATATGTATGTTAGTTTTCTTCTGCATTAAAAGTATTCGTATAACTGATATTGAAAGAAATATTAATGTCCACGAACAAAGACATTATAAGCATAAACTAAATAATAATTGTTTGGTATTTTCACTAATAACACTTTTTTTTCAATGAACCTCAATGTCATGTTAAGCTTTTCTCCTTAGTTTTTCATATAAGTAAATTGTGTTTCGTAGTATGTAGCATTTGCTAACTATAACAATATTACTATTACAAAACTAGACAGTAGCATTTCAAGGGATAATTGTATTGATGAACTGTAAAAGTTTACTTAAATCAAAACGAATTTGCCAGTAGCACGCACTGGATGGGTTAGCAGATTTATTAAAAAAAACTAACGTGTATAAGGCGTCACACATTTTTTATAGGGAAATAATGAGTATTAGGGGAATCGATTAAAAAAGTACTAGATACATAATCCCATGCAAAAGTTCTCTTAAAACTGTGACCAATTGTATTTAGGTAAATTTTCTGGTTGAATTAATATTTATTACAACAATGTAAATTAAACCTTAAATGCAATGCTTAAAGTTGTTTTCACAAAAAAATATTAAAAGCGCGCTCAAATGATCAAATGAGCGTTCATTCGGTGAGGACATTTTTTGTCGCTGATAGTGTATCTAGTACTTGTTTGGTCAATGATTAGGGGCTTAGGCTTGTGAAAGTTAGGATTCGCAATTATCACTCGTAAATAAATAGATTTTTTTTACGAATTGATTCGATTATGATAAAAGCGATAAACACATCATGGATACTTTTTTTTAAAAAGACCATTTTTTTTTAACTAAAATAAACACATCTGCATTATCGTTTCATGTTTAGGATAATACTTGAAACTAGAGTTACGCAGAACTAAAGTGATGTACACGTATGAATACAAAACAATAAATGTTTTTTTTTTAATTCTTCCACAGTATTCGCATAATTTCTTAAGCTAAAGCAAATGTTAAATTAAAGCCAATTCGAATGTTGTAATTAATTTTGTTACAATCTTAATACCTGGTATTTTATTCATTTAAATACATATAAGGGAATAGTTATTGATTTTGGCCTATTTGTATTCAAATTACACAATAATAAATGAATATCGCTATTTTATATACAAGGTGTCCCCAATCTATTAATTATTTTTTGTAAACGAAATACGTACTAATTCTAAACGAAATAGTAATATAACAATGATTATAATTTAATTTAGATATGGAAGTTGTTATCCTAAAAGTGGCCCAACCCTTTTTATGTAAAAAATAAAATGCACTTTTTTTGGATGTAGCAATCATTTCCAAAAATACGAGTTAGGCCTCTTGTGTTGTGATCTTAAATTCTATGTTCTTGGTTCAAAACCAGCGCCGGCTTGGGAGGGGGAGGGGGCGATCGGGGCGCCAGGTTAAACAGGGCGCCGCGCGCACCAGCGCAACTTCAACCATTTAATTTGAATACTTATTTATATCGATCTAAAGAAAAACTAGACTCAGCGCTTTATCGTATCTCTCATTAAATAATTCTACATACATGTTTTTTTTAATTGTAATGAAATAAGTATACCTAAAAGGGTGCCAAAGGCTTGACTCGCCCGGGGTGCTCAGATGGCTCAGACCGGTCCTATACTAAAACTATACGAAATGTTTTGGCTTTAAATTAACGAGCTTAAATGATAATTGCGATTAGGTGGTATTATAATATACATATAGATAATATGTGGTGCTATAAAATGCATAATGATGTGTTCTTAAAATATTTCTTTACGTACTTAAGTTTTGTATGGGTTGTGAATCGCACATTGTAGAATTTTCTCATAAATCATTTCATAACTTCTGTAATTACTCTGTAAAACTACATTGTGCGATGATATTTGCTAAGAATTATTAGAAATGTAATCGTTGATTGTTTGGTGTGTATTGAAATTATTTGAATAAGGGTGGTGCCATACTGACCGGTACAAAAAATCATTTTTCTCGTCACTAATTACTATTTGTTATTTTTTTTCTTATTATTTGTATGTATAGAACTTTAGAAAGAATAAGACATGAAGAGCGTATAGTAGTATAAAGGTGAAGCTAAACTCAGTAGCTATCTCGAATCCCTTTTTTTAGTATACACAAAGAATATGTATGTATAATGTAGAATTTGTATTATAGTGTGTATAATTTTTGGCATCATTTACTATGTTATTGTCGCTCCGCCTGTCTTATTTTTTTTCTAAGGATAGAATTTGTTATAGTTTCAGCTGTCATTTTCTTTGTAATACTGTTGTTTTTAAATAAACAATTAAAAATATGTGATTGTTTCTTTCATCACTCGTAATGAACAGTAATTAACCCTAAAAGCTTAAAAAAAGTCATTTAAATTGTAATCTTAACGAATGACTCCTAATTAAATGCCTTGTAATTATTATAATTGAGTAAATTTGTATGTGTGTATGTTTCAATATAAAACTTCAATATTAAAGTTTTAAAATAATTTATATTATTAAATGTAGCTCGTAGCCAACCTTGAACAATATTTCTTAGAGCTTTTAAGCTTTAAGCTTCGGCCGAAGGTTGTGGCGATAGCCGATTAATCGGCTTCGGTCAAAAATCGACTTTCGGTCGGACACTACTTAAAACTAAACTGACCCTAAAAAATACAACCTAACAAAAAAAGGTACCGACTTTAAAATCAATTAAAAAGTAATTAATATTTTATTCATTTATATTCATAAAAATATATGAAAATCAGTTCAAAATTAGCTATCGGCAGCTAAAAAAAAGATATCGCGTAACATTATGTCGTTATACAATTGTCTACCTCTTCTTTTTACAGTCGGTCAAAGGCACCGAAACTAACAGTTGTTTTGACCATAACCTTCCCAAATAGCATATATTACGAATAATGGTACCGCGATTTACACTAAAGTGCACACAGCAGTTATAACAAGCAAAGCGGAAAACGCTCTCACCGTAAATTGTTATCCATCCGCTTCGAAAACCGTCTCGGGCCACCGCAACCACGCGACGCTTCGAAATTATATTTGGAGGCACAAATGATAAGCGATGGCGTTTTTATTTTAAACTATCCAATTAACCTCACCTCTAAGAATAGATCATTTGTTACTCTAGTTAGAGTATAGTTTTTCTGTGTACCAATAAAATTTTATCCAAATTCGTCCAGCCATTACAGAGTAAAGTAACAAACGTATACATACAAACTTTCGCATTAATAATAGTAGGTAGTTTAAAGGCTTTCAAAAAGTCAAGCCTTAAACACCAAGAGGCACCACCGAACAACGACTAAAAAACTCAATAGTGTCAAAGGGAATTATCAAGATTTAACATTAAAACGATAAATGTAAAAATATAGTTCACAGCTTATAATGTGCTCCATACATCGCAGGTACTCAGCAAGTAGTTTTGTCATGGCGTCTTAGTAAATGAAAGTGTTATGCAAAACGCGTAAAAACTAGCCAACCGCTCTCAGTTGCGCTGTTAATCGCCTGTGAAATCATACTTCCTTTATTTATTTTCACTTTAAATTAAAAGTTTTTATTGTTAAACTAGCGGCTCACCCTCGCTTCGCTCGGGTTCGTCGCTAGGTACGTTTTAAATAGATATAAAAAGAAAAAATCTTTCTTTCTCACATTTTAATTATATGTTTTAATACTTACCTATTCCGGACTAAGAGAAATCCAAAAATTAAAATATCATAAAAATTTGAACGCGGTCGAACGGGATAAAAAGTATCCTATGTCCTTCTCCTGGCTCTAAACTACCTCCCTGCCAATTTTCAGCTAAATCGGTTCAGCCGTTCTTGAGTTATAAGCGAAGTAACTAACACGACTTTCTTTTATATATATAGATTTAGTTTGGAGCCTTCATTAACATAATATTGCATAATTGCACTTATTACTGAACTATTAACTTGGAATTTGCCTTACAATAACTACACTCTCTTAAGCTGTGGGTTAAACTTCGCGTGGGACAGATATTAGTATGAGTGAGCTTAGTACAATGCATATCCATACATTACCCCCACATCTGAAATGCATTCCAATCTTTCTATTTCAGTTCCATATAAAACAGTTTTAAATAAGAATTAGCTAAGTCGGTATGAGAAGTCTCTATTGATGATGATGTTCTCCTAGCCGATTCCGGCCACGGCGGCCAATCTCATTGAGACTAGCCAACTGCGGAGGAGATATTATAGTGCACAAGTGTACGCGCAGACACAAGTGCACTCTCTATTCCTGTCACTCTCATACTCCGGTGGGACGACCACTCGACACGACCAGTGAGAGTTAAGGCGCAGGACCGACGGCTTTACGTGCTCTCCGAGGCACGGGGGTGAAACACCGCCAACTTCCC